GTGTGTGTGTGTGTGTGTGTGTGTGTGTGTGTGTGTGTGTGTGTGACATGTGAGTCTGCAGGGCATGCAAACAGTCTGCCGTTAAACCCAGTGATAAATAGCAATTAGCTGAGCCTGAGATGCCTAGTTCATAAAATGCACTGCTTTACAGATTGTCTCCACGCTGTCAGGTCACAGAACACATGGCACATTAAAACTCGGGTTGTTCAGTGCCGTGCAGAGCGGTGCATCTTGTCTACACTTGAAACACAAATCTTGTTTTGAGCTCTGGCCTTCAGCCCACTGCAGCCGTTGAACTGACATAGTTTTTTTTCCCCCTTCCTCCACCTTCTTTTTGTATACCTTTTTTTTTTTAACTTAAATTGAACGCTTGTGCTTCATCTGGACGGCAGCCATTCAAACCAAGAGCAGTTAAAACGGCAGAATTAATGTGGTTTATGGGACCATAAATAGAGACCAATGTGTAGGACAGAAGTATGCCTGGGCTGTCATTAAAGTGTCATGAGTCTTTTCCATACATGTAAAGCATGCGGGACGGAGGACTTTCTTATTTGTTTGTCTCTTCCAACTAATTTGTTTGAGCCAATATTGTATCCTTGTTCATACAATTTGGATGTGCTCTTCACCAGAAATATTATGACACGTGATGCACTTAACGTTCACGTTTTTGACTTGAACATTGTTCTCGCTACCAAAGAGTGTTTTGCAACCCCAAAACTTCAGCTTAGTGTGCAGTGGATCACATAAGTGAGGAGGTGTATCCTTTCTCCTCCCGCTGCTGCATTTGGTCTGTTTCTGGGTATTTTTGGCCTGGTCCAGACACCGGAAACTGGCCTGTCCAACTTAAACATCTCCAGATGAGTCTTTCTTTGGCTTTAAAATATACAACGGCCCCTCTTTTTTTTATTCCCCAGTCAAATACATATCTCTGTATATTGGAAGCTTCCTCAGTTTGCTATCACAAGGGCCCTGTAGTCTGAAAGCAAGAGAGATAGAGAAATGAAACAAAGCAGGGACTTGGGAAATGGGGTAAGGGTGGCCAAAGAGAGAGGAAAACAAAAATCTTCAAGATTCTGAGCAATAAAATTATGAGTTTATGAACTTATGTGCTTAAAATGAATATGAGTGTGGAAAGAGAAGAGGTAGATTCACAAACTTGTAAAAAGAAAAAAAGAAGCAAGGCTGGAAGGAACAATAAGAAGTGCTGAATTAGCGATCCTCTATCCAAAGTTTGTGCCTTTTTAGCATGCTCACCTCTCTGTGACCTGCAGAGAATATTGCCATAAAACACAAGGTGTAGGTGTCACTTACCTGGACTCTGGCTTTGTTATGAAACCAATTTGTTTATTTTCTGAGCTCGACTGGGTTTGTAATAAGATGCTGATCTAATCTATTTCAATAAAGCAATAGATCACAAGTGGAAAGCTCTGAACAGCTAAAGCAAACTGAGTTCACTCAAAAACCTACAAGTCACATGACTTTGAAAGTGCGCCCCATTAATTCATTTCAATCGTTCAGTATTAACAAACGCAAACCCGTCCTCTGTTTTCCACACTCTGTACGTATGTGTGCATGAGCTGCCGCACAGCCAATGGAATTAACCAGATCTTTAAAAAAAAGAAAGAAAAAATTTGCTCAAGACAAATTTCTTTCAAGTAGATAAACCACAAAATACTCAACAAAAAATGAAGTGCAACATGCACAACCTGCAAGAAGAGAAATCACAGTCGGAGATGGAACAACTTCTAACTTTGTCCGAAATTTGAGGCTGTTTAAAGAACTGTTAAAGCACTGTTAAAAAAAGACTTGAAAGGTCTTGAAATTCCAAGTTTCAAACTTGGGACTTGACAGTTGCATGTTTTGGCTTGAGACTTGACTCAGGACTTGAGGATAATGACTTGGAACTTTACAAAACAATGACTTGGTAAGATCATAAATGTTTATCACCTCCCTACAGAACTCCACTTCAGAAGATCTGAACTATCCCTGAGTTTGTGTTAGAGCTTGGATTTGACGGTCAGGCAACACGGTTGGCTCGTCTGAGCTGGAAAAGGTAACCTACACTGTTATATAAACACAGCTGAACGTTTAATTGAAGCAAGATGGAGAATCTCTTTAACCCTGTCCGTGGGACGCTGCGGTAGGCAGTTAGGGACCAGCACACACTCACTTTGCTCTCTGTGTCCCTCTGCCTCCAATTGCCTGCCTTCATATTTATGGAGACTAAATAAACACACATGTTTAAAACTCATCACACTCTGAGCAAGCAATGTTTGACATAGTCAGCTTCATGATGATTTAAGATGCTGAGATCATTATATCTGATGAGGCTTTGTGACTCGCCCGTAACATTAACGTAACAGCACCGATGTAAGGCACATAAAACACTCAACAGGCTACACAGCCTCAGTACAATTTGATGAGAGTGTGAAAGCCCGATGAAAATCAAAAGAAGGGCAAAATCCTGTTTTTTTTTTTTACCACTTAGGACTACTGGTATGGTGGCAGAGTAAGACGGAGCAGGGAGGGTCAGAGAAAGGCAGCCAGGAATGTCTGGAGAAACGACTGATCTGTTTTGTTTGTTCAAGTGTGTGTATGTGTGTGAGTGTGACTCCACGTCTGTGTGTGTGTGTGTCTTTGAGCTCCACCCTCTCTGCCCATGAGTGACTTTTCGGACTGAAATGTGGTTCCAGTTAGGCCGTTTTTAAAATCAGAAACATACTGGCACTTCAAACAAACATATTTCTGTAGTCAGCGCTGCTTTGTTCTCAATTTACTATAAACCTCCATTCCCAGACTTTTACTCACACACCCAACTCCCCCCACACGCACACACGCACACCCACACAACTTTCTTCTTTCTTTTATCGGAATCATAACTGACAGATGGAGGCTATTTTGAATTTAAAAAAAACTACATGGATATTTTTACCTGGAGCACTCAGATGAGGTGTTGAAACACTCAGCGAATGTATGAAGTATTATATTTTATAAATATTGTGGTATCTAAATACTTATTTGTGATGAATTCATACTAATCTATATAAGGCTTGACATCTCAATTCAGGTTTTGCACACAGAGGAGCTGCAGTGACTGAAAAAGATAGAAATACAAAGTAGTGCCAATAAGGCATACTCGTATCACATTATTACTTTGTAATTACGGTATACAGCAGAGCAGTTGGCCTCTAGATTGACCGAAAATGTAAAAGTGGTAAAGACTTTTGACCTATTGTTGATCGATAATGCTAACAAAGAACAGACTAATAAATTTTATCCATTTATGCCCACTGCTTTTATTTTTTAAGGCTAAATATGTGGTGATGCCTTTTATGAATTTGATTTCTCTAGACCTTCTCCAGACCCACATTGGGGTCTTGACCACAGCTTTGGGTCTCTCTGTCTTGTAATCAAAACATTAGGAGATTCTTCCCAATTGTTTTAATTTTTTTTTTTCAAACTTAGGGTGTTTTCACATCTGATAGTTTAGTAGATTTGGTTCGACTGGGGACCAAACTTGCAACATTTGTTACATTTTCAGCTGGTTCACACTGCATTGTGTCAAACGAACCAAACCACCTGTTTACCCCCCCTGTGGTGACGAACTGGACTTTCTAAGCAAATGAACTAGTGTTCACTGTTCACTGATTTTAATCCATTCATAAATATTCTGTTCTGTACCTCAAATCTCTTACTTAGATGTCAGTTAGTATCATGCAAGTTCTGCTAAAAGATTGCCTTTTTGTAAACAGCTCTTTTCATGACCACATTATCCCACTGCTTGCCCCTGGTGTCCCTTTTTCCTGCTTCTTCTTCATCTTTTGCACACTTTTAATTTGATGCTGCTCTGGTTCTGACATAAAGACGGTGGCTAAAAACAGCAACGATATCATCAATCATGTGCAAAAGCACTCATATGTAAACCTGAAGTCATCCAAGAAACATAGTATTTTTATACAAGACCACGGCAAATGTCTCCTAAGATGACATCCAATCCGATAAAATAATTCTGCAACCACAGTGTGATGACATAGCGCCACAGTGCGTCTCTTTCAGTGCACATGCACCATTAGTATACTGCAGATTCTTGCGTGCATGCACTATTTGAAAGACTTTATTCACAATAATTAACCATGTCTCATAAAAAAGGTCTTCATAGCACATGATTCTCTCTGGATCTGGATCTGCTCTTGTTCTCTGATTCTGCCCTCTATATTTCCCCTGCTCTGATACTGATTAGGTATTTTTTAAATTCTAGCACAAATGAATGTTTGGGTTAATAAAACCATTATGTGCACTATAATATTTAACTTTTATTTGTTTTGTGGTTTGGATGACATGTATTTGACCTAGTAATGTCAGAACAAAATTATGGGGGTAAAGAAGTCTGCAGTTGAAAGAAAGTTGAAAGAAAGGGGAGCCCTCAGGACGAATAGGTACCAGTGATGTCATGTCTTCGGGTCTTTTATCTTAATGAAACCCAGTCTTGGTGATTATGGAAGGACTGATCTACCAGGATGTGGACTGACTCTATGAGTCATTCACAAGGGAAGGATCTTTTACTCCTACACCTCCTCTCCTCATCTATAATTCACACAGTGAGAAATCACTGTGGACCCAAGTGACCCTGTGTTCACTGATACCGCTAGCAATGCACGCAGTGACACAGCGTGACGTAGAGCGAAGTGTTTGATCCGTCTGCTAATAGCATAAATGCGTGCTCCTTTTTTAGCTTGTAAACTCACTGAACTTTGATTAGTGACTCTTCTGATTTGACCTACCCTGCTCTCCAGCCTCTTTTGTCTTTGTTTTTGCT